TCCAAAGCCCCCAGTGCCCAGGGCTGTGAGCTGGGGCAGGTGCCCCCTGTGTGCCTGAAGCTGTGCTTGTGTTGAGCTGTGTTCCTCTGGTGTCCGTCGGTCGTGTTGTGCTCGGGGTTTGCTGCCCAGCCCTCTGTCATGACTGTGTCTTGTCTGCCATGAGAACATGGTGGGGAGGAAATAAAAGGCTGATGTTCTCATGGGCCCGTTGTTCTGTCTGTTCCTTTGGCCAGGCCTGCCTGGAGCGAGCCCTGACCCCATCCCTGCCTGAAGGGACACGTTGGGGGCAGAGCCTGGTCCCTGGTGTCCCCAGGAGCGACTGGCTGGGCTCTGCTGCCTCCTGTGCTCCCCCTGGCACAGCCTCCTCCAGCAGAGTGAGTGCCCCATGGCACACTGCACCCTCATGCTGCCTGGCACTGGGACCAGGACCCGGCTCTTCCTCCCCTGCCCTGGCATCAGCCTGACCTGCTTCCATCCTGGCCACTCCAGACCTCCCCCTTTCCCCTTGCCCTGGCACAGCTTGTCCTGCTTCCAGCCTGGCCACTCCAGACCTCCCCCAGCTCTCCCACCATCTTCTCCCCACCTCCGAGGGGCCCAGCACTGCTGTGTCTGCAGGGGGATCAGGGCCCAGGGGTGTTCTGAGCCCTGGCTTTGCCTTCCAGGGGCTGTGCTGGTGCCCTCAGGCTGGCTGTGCCACCCCAGGCAGCAGGGAAGGAGCTGAGGGTGCCTGGAGCTGGGATAGGGTGGAGACCCTGCTGCCCTGCGCTTGTCCCACCCTCCCTCCTTCCCCGTGCCCCACTGCAGACAGGCCCTGGCTTCACCCCAGTGGGCACTGTGCCCACCTCACTTCTTCAGTGGGATGGAGAGGTAACTGGGTTGGGATAAAGATTTTAACCAGGTGAGCAGGAACTGAGGCAACTCAGGTGTGTTCCTTCAGTGCTGTCACTGCAGCCAGGCCCCAAACACCTTCCTTTTTCCCCCCAGCTCCCCTGGCTGAGCACATGTCCCATGCCCCAGGACACAGCCGGGTTCAGAGGGCACAGCTGTGCCCCCAGCTCCTCTCTCCTGGCTAAACCTGGCCAGCACGGTGACACCAGTGCCATGGGGCACCAAGGCAGGAGCTTGGCTGGAGCTGGGGCAGAGCCCTCTGCAGGGGCAGCAC